CTTGACACAACAAAATCGATATACTCAGTTTGAGTGCCCCTTGGCACAACAATTCGACATACTCCATCCGAGTGCCCGTTGGCACAACAAAATCGATATACTCAGTTTAAGTGMCTCTTGGCACARCAAAAGGGYTACCTCCTGCTCCCAATTGTTATACGGCCTCAGCCWTGGCAACCAGTAGAGAAGACTGCTGAGGTGAAAAGGAAGATCCCTACCTCCACTACCTCTTGATTCAAGAGGATGAGGAAGAAGGGTGGTATGGGATGGTAGAATAGGCCGCTGTTGCAACTCATGAGATGGCTGATAGCTCAAAAATGGTTGAGCATCGATTGAATGAGATGGGGGATGGGTCAGAAGATTTAGAACAGAGTAAGGATGATGAGGGGAGATTTAGAAAGGAAGAATATGATGGAGAGTATAATTGGATTGGTATGGTGACGAGTAACAACCACTTGAACGAGTTCTACCATAAGAAGACAAAAATGACCTTTAGACTACTTAGGGGTCACCTTTCTGTAGATGCTAAGGAAGGACTACCGCCGCTGAGAGTGGTGTGTAGTAGAGAAAGACAACTAGAGGTGATCGCCGCACTGCATGAAGGTCTAGTAGAGGGTCATAGGGGTGTTGATGCTACATACTATAAAGTATCCCGACTATATCACTGGGATAGTCTGAGGGATATGGTTATGAGATATTGTAAGTCATGTGAAGCCTGTCAGAAAAGGTCATCTATGAAACTGATTGAACCCTTATACCCCACTGTTCTTGTTGAGCCTAGTAGTACACCCTATCCTGGAAGGATGTGGTAACCTTGGTGCCAAAGTTCAGAGAAAAACTCAAAAAGATGGTTGAAAGGCGGAAAGTAGAAATCAATAGCCTAAGACTCTTCCCTCAGCACGTGGAAAGAGCCCCGCCTGGGACCAAGATGAGGTTTGGCAACATGTCGTGTGGCTACTTGAATATCTCTGTAAACGACGTGAAAGTTAGAGCCCTAGTGGACTCCGGGGCCGAGATGATTCTTATGCCATCGGCCTGGATGAGATCACGTAGGCTTGGAATAGATTGGAAGGCTAATCATCAGCTTTCTAATATAGCCGGATTCCTGCCCTTGGAAGGTTTTATTGATGATGTGCCTATTTGGATTGAAACTTTACGGGTTGAGATCCTTAGTTTTGTGGTCCCCAACTTGGATCATGACTGCATTCTCGGAGCCCCTTTCCTACATAAAATGGAGGGTTGTGCGTTCTTTGGCCATGATGGAGCGGCCTGACTCTCTCTTCAGGATCCTGTCACTGGTCAATAGCAGGCTTTTGTGATAAGCGATTGGCACCATCCTCGTCATCAGCGACATGTTAATTCTCTTAAGCATGAAAAATCTGACAAGTTGATTGAGGAAGTACGAGCAAAGTTGAAAGAAAGTGGAATAATAGACGGGAAGACAACGATTAGAGTAAGTGATATCGGAAAGATGCTCAAACTCCTAGATAAAGAGAAGGAGCTAGGCGATAAWKGATAGATRGAAGGATTCAAGGATGMTRTGAGGGYGGCAAAAGCTGGCACRGTGTAGCTCACATTCTCTGCAMCTGAGCCTTTTTTAGRAAAATAGTCACCGAGTCCAAGAGRAAGTATAAGCGCAAGAGCGTTAAGAAGAATCCGGTGGTAGTTTTGGTAGAAAATGACTATAATGAAGCATTAGAGAAGGAAAGAAAGATAATTAAGGGGTTAAGAGAGGCTRCATWAAAAAGGGGAAGGATTACCCCATAGGGGTCCAAGATAATGAAGGTAGGAGCCGATGACYTTCTTCTGCCRGCTGAGAGGGATTTYATATGTRAATTATGTCAGACGTACAGTGGAGCCTTTTCCTTTAATGATGAGAAGAGGGGACGACTGGACGTTGGCATGATCAAGATGGTCAAGATTTGGACCGTCCCTCACACGCCTTGGAATGATAGACCCACGAAATATGCTCAAAAGGAAGAAAAATAGGTAATGAAGTACAAAAACCAGAAGATCGCCTCCAATGTTGCAGAACCAGCAGATGGTGCTTATGCCAATCACTGGTTTTGTTTTTGGAAGCCAGGAGGAGGTATGCGCATGATACAAAACTTGCAAAAGTTGACTTCGGTAATTGTTCGCGATGCGGGTAGTTTACCGAACGCGGATCTACTGGCCGAGTCTTTCATCGGAAGGAGCATTTACTCCCTAGTAGAGTTATATTCTGGCTATGACCAGTTCCCCATAGATCCTACTAGTCGACTTATGACCGCCATGCACACACCTAGAGGCCTCATACAAATGTGTGTGGTACCTCAAGGGTGGACGAATGGGGTCGTGGTCGTCCAGCGAGACATGCTGAAGGTCATGGAGGACATATGCCCAGAGGTCACGTTCCCATACATCGATGACAATCCGGTTAAAGGACTGAAGGAAAAGGATGAGACCTTAGTGGGTGGTCGAGTTAGGCGGTTCGTGTGGGAGCATGAGCAAGGAGTGGTGAAAGTATTACAAAGGTTCACTAAGTACAACCTAACAGTCAGTGAACCGAAATCACTACTGTTCCAAAGGGAGGTAACGGTCTTGGGTTTTAGGTGCTTCTTGGAAGGAAGGAGCCTTGATCCGAAGAAGGTGGATAAAATCCTGAATTGACCTATGCCTCTAAAAACGGTAGGGGAAGTAAGGAGTTTCCTAGGGGTCTGCAACTTTTGTCGGATCTTCATCCCCGGGTTTGCCAGGATAGTCGAGCCTCTTAGAGAAAGTTGCGAGGACACTCAATTGGAGTGTCTGCTGACACAGTAAATCGACATACTCCATCTGAGTGTCAATTCTTGGCACGGTGTACACAGGTGTACAACATCCCCTAGTCCCCTGACACGGTGCGTTCAGGCATACAGCTACCCTCAGCCTTCTGACACACTGCATTCAGGCATACATCGACCCTAAGCCCTCAGATACAGCAATGGTAAGCACAAAAAATAAAAGGGTGCGAGCAGAAAGAAAAAGGGGCCTACTAATAAGCAACCGGCCTGACTAAGGGAAATGACGGAAGTGAGTAGGGAGAGGGAGGAAGAAGAGAGGGAGTGAAAGGAGCAAAGGGAGAGAGAGATAGGGGAGGACTCGGAGGCCGGGGWGAAGGCTATGGCCCTCGTGAGAACYAGGACCGCCTTGCTTCCCCGAGCAGCTCCACCCCTTTACCTCCCTCTTGCTTGCCTTTGTCTTTCTCCTTCTCTTACTTGCTCCAGCGTAGCAGCTCCGGTCCGCCGTTCCGCCAGCACTTCCGCATTCCCGCAAGTGAGGGGCCCCCTCTCCAAGTGGCACGGCCTCTCTTTTATAGTGAAGAGGCCGGGTGGTCGGGCGAAGTGCAGAAGTCCTTGGGCTAAAAATARCACAGGCTTGTGCTAAAATTAGCACAGACCTGTACTAAAATTAGCGCARGACTRGGACAGTCCMGACTTTGGGACACRAACWGTCAGTYCCGTGCTAAGAATAGCACAGGCCTGCGCTAAATATAGCGCGGGCATGTGCTAAAATTAGCACGGGACTGCGCTAAAATTMGCGCGGGGCTGGGACAGTCCCGRCTTTGGGACACGAACAGTCAGTCCCGTGTTRAAAATAGCATGGGCCTGCGCTGAATATAGCGTGGGCCTGTGCTAAAATTAGCATGGGACAACACTAAAATTAGCGTGGGGCTTGGGATAAAAATAGCKCGGGCCTGCACTAAAAATAACCCAGGCCTGCGCTAAAAATGGCGTGGCCTACGCTAAAAATAGCACAGACCAGTACTAAAATTAGTGTCGGRCTTAAACTGGCCCGACTTTGGAATACTAAGGGTCAACCTTGTTTTGAAAGCAAAAAYATCCCTCTTACTCATAATAGGGGCCCAATSCCGTATCCCCCTTGACCATTTCGGGCCGTACTCTTCCCGACGCGGTAAGTCCGGTCCCAAGTGGTCAATTCTCACTAACCTTTGGTCCGTTTTCAGCGCCATTTGGACCGGGCCCTACTAATTTAGCCCTTGTAGACGCGGTGGTTCAGCCAAAAAGTCTTGATTCGATCTCCATGGGGCTTAACTGTCGTGCAGTCTTGCCTACTGACTCGACCCAAGGGGGCCAAACAAGCGAGTCAACAATCTGCTGATCGCGACCACACGCAACTCTATAGTGCGGATGCTGATCGCGATGAGTCAACTATACGTTGACGCGGCACGCCGCTTTCCGACAACGCGAGCGCCATTACTGCGGCCAGACAAGAACAAGCAGACGAGGCCTTGGGTTTTGGAGGAGAAAGTCGACCTTGCCGAATGCATGAGGGAGGATGACGTGCTTATGGCAGCCGCTGATGGCAGACACAACTGTATGAAACGTTCAGAGAGAAACGAGTGGGTGTYGAAGAGGATGGGGGAGAGGGGGTGGAAGAKATCGGYCGAGGACTGCAGGAAGAAATGGTCAGAGTTAACGAACAAGTTGAGGGTCATCAGGGACAAGTGTGGGGCATCGGGCAAACCCTCGTATTGGGAGATGACAGGGGAGCAGAGAAAGAAGGAGGGGATGTTTCCTGCCCTCGAACAACTTGTGTGGGAGACCATGGCTTGGTACTCCAACTTGCCGTCGCTAAGGTGTGACAATACGCTCGCCTCAAGTGCTTTGCAGACAGGGGACGGGGGGAGCTTCGGTAGAGGCACATCGGAAGGGGGAGGGACACCTCAAGGCGGAGGGACAACGCAAGCAGGAACGACAACAGCCGACGGGGCGTCAGATGGCCGTCCTGCATCAGCAGGGGGCGGGACATCAGATGGGCAAGGAACGTCGCAGGGAGCAGGAACTTCTCAAGGAGGAGGGACGGACGAATCAGAGAGCGCATGGAAGACACGTCACACAGGCGGTGGGAAAGGTCGGGTTGCAGGAGAGAGCAGATCAGCGGTTTCAACCATCGCCGAAGCAATGCATGTGTCGACGTGGGCGTACTGTGAAGGATTGGACAAGGCGTTGGACAAGGCCGCTGGTGTGCTCGCGAAGATGAGCACCGAAGGAGGGAATGTTGTCGCTGGCAGGATAGGTGACATGGCCACCCTGATTGGTGATGTGGCGACCACCATGCATAAGGGCAATGCGGTGCTGGATCTGCTGGTGGGTGTCATGGCACGACGAGGGAGTATCGACGGTGGGCGATGACGAGACAATAACAGTTCGCGGTGTTGGGAACGGTACGGTTTCCGAGGCGTTTAGGGAGGGTTGTCACTTTCCGTCCTTCGTTGTTCTCCACGGGTGACGGACGTTGTGGCCGTCGTGAGGGAGAGGGTAGATGTCACAATCGTGAGAGAGAGAGAGAGAGAGAGAGAGAGAGAGAGAGAGAGAGAGAGAGAGAGAGAGAGAGAGAGAGAGAGAGAGAGAGATGCTGGACGTCGTGAGGGAGAGGGTCGACGAGAAGGAGGTCGTCGTGCAGGAGACAAGGCTCGAACGAGGGAGCGAGCGCCACCGCCAAATGGATTGGGGCCCTAGCGTACAAATCGACCAGACGCGTGTCTATTACGCACTGCTGAATGGCTTGATGGCCATGCGGATGGTGGCATGGCTGGGCTACGACGGGGACAACAACCTCATGGAGGTGGTTCTCTTGGTGCGGAAACTATCCAATGTTGTCCCCGACACGTGGCAAACGCCAAACCCTGATGTCGTGGGCGACATGGTGAGGTACCTCATCTCCGCCATCGTCGAGGAACATGTGGCGGCCATGGATGCGAATGCGTCGTTTAGTGCGGAATTGGWCCCTCCCCTTCGCGGGAGGGGGTACCTTCATGGCGCTGTCCGGATGTGGTGCCCGGAGGAYGACATCAGGRCYGCRTGTAACAGGTGGTGAGGTCGAGTCTTCGTACGCAGCGACAGGCGCATGGATGACACTATTGAGGTGCCGCTAAAATGGCCTTCCACGTGTGCATGACGGGCGATTAGTGGGGACCGTTRATGGAGGGGAGGAGGGTTGATTGGAGCGGTTCGCGGACCTCCTATCCTGTGCATRACGGGCGTGTGTGCACATGTCTTCGCAGTGCGTCGATGGAAATTGGGTTTGRGTTCTTCCACATGGACGAACCGGAGATGGGTCAATCCTTCCTGTCAAGGRAGCAATCAATGCCCATCTCCRGTTATGTCGAGTCATGATAATTTTTGGTGCGATGGCACAGTTCACGAATGAGGAGAGAGGATATACGACCTGTAATTTTGTTGTCCATTTGCGTGGCTTGTTTTTTGTGTCTGGGTGTGTCGAAGACAGTACTGTGTGTGTGCACGTGTTTGTGTGTCCTTGTCCTTGTTTATTACAATCATGTTAAAATTTGTTGTTGGAGTGCCTAAACTTCGAAAGACTCAAATTCATTTCGCCAGTGTCGTTTTCAACATTTGAACCGTTCTTCTGCTCTCGTTTTTTGTGTGAATGGACGAAGTCGAGCGGACATAACAGGATTGTGTGTTGTTGCTGCGAAAATGTGTTGAGGTGTTGAACACCACCAATGGTCGATGCTGATATGTGCATGCCATGACCTTGGTCGAAACCAGAAGACAAAAAAAAAAGAGAAAAAAAAAAGAAGAAGAAAAAAAAAAACACCAACACAGGCTCGTTGTGTTGAACAACATGCATGAAGGAATTTCTGTTCGTTTGGAGAAAGAACATCTCTCTCTCTCTCTCTCTCTCTCTCTCTCTCTCTCTCTCTCTCTCTCTCTCTCTCTCTCAAATACCAATCACACTATTCACACCTCTACATACCGGACCTGCTATCAACCTATGCCTCTGCTCGTGCAGCCACGCGATGCCAAGGAGCTCGTTGTGGCGCACCATGCACTTGAACATGGTGGACGACATGCGTCACTAACCTTGACCTACATTCCGCCCCCTCCTTGCTGCCATACGACTCATCCGTTGAATCGTGCAAGGTCTGTCGTCGTCGTCGTCACGCGGATGGGTTCCTTGCTGGCTGCGGACGTGGCAGAGGGTTGTCAACTTGTCATCGTCGGAGTCATCACCGTCGGAGGCGCAAAGCTCGTCGACGTCCACATTGTGGTCCAGAAGAATGTTGCGCAATATACAGACGGCCATGAACTCATTGCACAACGTCTTGAAGTTGTCAATCTGTCGATAGATGAAATTGCGCCACACAGCCTTTAGAACGCCGAACGTCCGCTCGATGACACTCCTTGCAGCGAAGTGCGAGTCGTTGAAGGTGACATCGTCTGCGGTACGACGACGAGAAGGAACTGGCGTGATCAACCATGGCAAACAAGGAAAGCCTGTATCCCCCAGTACATTGYRGCCAATTCTTGTCCCGTCAGTGAGCGTGTGTGCACCAACAYTGAACACTCCTACACCGTTTTGAGCGTCGGAGTACAAAGGAGATAGCCGCAACACCCGAGAGTCATGGTTGGACCCCGGGCACCCGACGTACACATCCAAAATTCTGCACTCGTGGTCGCAGACCACCTRCGCAATGATCGAAAATTGTCCCGTCCTGTCGTAGTAGCACTCGCCAYACTCCTTCCTCGACTTTTTAATGTACAGGTGAGTGCAATCTATCGCACCCACACAACCTGGAAAACCSTTCCGTTCAAATGCATCCAGTGTCTCCTGGAGACGGCGACCCCGTGGGAAGGAGATGACATGACYGTATTCCCTGATGATTGCGTCGRCCACCTCTTCGTTGCTTCGCAGTGCACTGGCGAGTCCCATGCCCAACCCATGAGCAGACTGTCTGTAGAAACTGCCAGTGGCCCATCTGATCAGCGYGCATGYAAATTTTTGTTCCGCAGGCAGTGGCTGCCTCCAATTCGTYGTTGCCTGCTGAATATGAGGTGCTATTCGGCGCAAGACGTCCTCGAACARTGGACGAGGGAGCCTACAAAACCTTTTGAAGACCTTGTCGTGTYTSCTACSYACACGTTGGAGATCCTTCCACACACCACCGCTGCGATCAAGTACCCAAATCCTTCCACTACTCTCGCCTCTCTCGTGAATGGCACTCAAAGTCGCATGGAGGAGATGAAGGTTGTGACCAACACCATATGTCAACAATGCCAAAACAACCRGCATTCCAGGATCCCAYAGAGGCAATGACGCTGCAGCCTCGATARCGGTCATMGCCGCCTCGTTCCTTTGTTTCATCCACTGGATGATGACGAAAACCAACATGAACAGCATGTCGTCCCACTCCGCACTCGCATCCGAGCATGCACCGCTGCCAGGTCCGYTGTCGAGTTCCATTGTTTCGTGCGTGCCAGGAATGTCCCCATCTCCATCGCCGAAACCTGCTTCCATGGCCACACGATGARCCACTTTCAAGCGGTGAACGTAAATGGCGACAAAGCGTCCCACAACACGACTTGCGATGGCGTTGCAACGGCGGAGGGAGAGCCAACGGTCAGTGGTCT